CAGGACTGGCACAGCAGGGTCACTGTCACTCCTGCTGTGCCAGGAGGGTGTCCCAGGCAAGGACTGTACTGCCACCCAAGCTGCCAGTGCTCAAGAGCCCCTATTCAGTCTGCCTGAACCAAAATCCACACTGGATTTGATCTCCAAAACCAAAGGCACATGTCCTTGATCGATGGGAGAACCTCCTTTTTCTTCTACAGATGAGTCTGGAGAAGCAGAAGGTTTCCTGGAGTTACTGCTTCAACTGACAGCCGTGCCTGGATCTGGTGGTGCCCTGGGGAGGGACCTCAGGGCTGCACACAGGCTGCAGAGCAAGCAGCTCTGGAAACTGAGCAAGCAGGAGAAAGGGGGGACACAAAGTGACTTACAAGCAATGAATCACAATCTCCTGTTTGAGATCATGTGTCTCTTTGTGAGGTACTGTTCAATTCTCAGAGCTGAGATGGAAACTGCACCAAAGGGGAACACATTGTCATGGCCTAAGCTGATTAAGGCTGGATGACTCGGAATACACAACACAAATAACTGCAAAATGTTGTTCTCTCAGAAGCCCTAAACTCCTGAGTCTTGCTTTTCCAGTCTCCAGGGAACAGTTTAACAAGTGCTGCTTAAACACCCAGCCCGAGCAGGGCTGAAGAAGCTGTGAGCAGCTCCAGGGCTCAGCAGTGCCCGACTGCAGCCTCCTACTGAGCTCTCAAACCCTGGGCCATGAAAATAGCTTGGCACAAAGAATACAGAAACCTCCAACAGGTTTACAGGCATTTTTCCAGCTTTGGCACCTATCTGCACTTTAAGTTTGTAGGCACAAGTGTGCTTTGTGTGTGTTCCTACCCCCCTGCACATTGTGCTGCCAGAGCTGTCTGTGCTGCAGCCGGACCGATTGACAGCTTTGCCTCCAGCCAGAATTCTGATTCAAAGGAATATCCAATTCTGTGTAATAAAGTTTGCATGAAATTTTTACCTGCAACAATTCCCCAATGTGCTGAACTGCATGATACTGACTTAAACAATACATCATTTTAGCAGCAGAGTTAAACAAAACTCAAAGCCAGACTCAGTTGGGTTTTTTCTCTTGTGATCACAGGTATTATAATACCACATGTGAGGGCTGTAAGTCATTACTTCCATTATTTTGTAGTATATAAACATCAAATGCAATAAGCGTTTCAATCAAATCACATGTTTAAATGTAGACTTTAAAAAAAATTTCACCTATAAAAATTAAAAATTAACCCCAAAAGTGTTTTCAGATAAAAGATTGAAAGTATGTAAAATTTTGAAAATGACTGCTTCAGTATTATTGAAATACTTTAAATTTAAAAAAAAATGAAATGTTAGAATGAAAGAATTTCCATAGACATTTGATTTAGATGAAAACATATTTTATATCAGAACAATATTCCATTGAAAAAATTTCCAATTGCATTTTCTAGTGGGCAATTTTTCAATGACATTTTCAGAAGAACAATTTGCATGTGAAAAATTTTCCAACAAGCTCTAGTGAGCTCTTAAAGGCAAGAAGAAGTAGTTTTCAAATAATCCATTTTGAAAGGCAGTTATTATTCTATGTTTCCACCTCTTACAGTAAAAGCATCAGACCAAACATAGGGCAATTTCTGGGCTTTCTGTTACCTCCTTTCTAACTTAAAATACAAATTGCTGAGAAATGTTCCCAGACTTCAGTTAAAAACCATGAGTGATTTTAAAATGGGTTGTGCTGTGAATGTTGCTTACCTTAGGTAGGGATCCACACTTGGCAGCTGGGCCTGAGCTCTGGTGTCCAAGAACAGCCTCCAGCTCAAAATCAGGTCTGCAGCTTGAATTTCCCTCTTTAGATTGATTTATAGAATATACATGAATTTTGGTGGTACCTGCAAGTCCAGTTATTGACCCCAAATCTCATAGCAAGTGCTGTCTTGATAGAAACAACCAAAGAATAAATGAACATTAAACACGTCCCATTCTGTTTGATGAGATCAGGTGGAGGATCTGCTTGAGATTGCATCGTGACACTGTTTACACAGAACATTTCCAACACTTCCAATTCCCATTTTGTTTTCTTAATTGCTGTTCCCAGTTTTTCAGCCACACAGCCCCTACTGAAGCTGGCTATGCCTGCTGGGCTTTTGTGCATGTGCTGAGCCCAGGTTTGTGTAACTGGGATGTGCATGTGAGGAGGGATGTGGCCTAAGGTGACACCTCATAAGGGAGATTTAGCAGAATAGAAAATACCACAATGATCTACAGCCCAAATTCCAAGTCTGCACTTCAAATCCGCTGCTTCAGGACTTGGAATCCACACTGATTCAAGCACTCTGACATTCAGGGAAAATCATTGAGAGATCTCTTTTAAAGATCTGAATGTGTTAGAAATGTGCAGGGTTAATTTACTTCAGGTGAGAGGGACAGCTCTTGGCTCCAGAGCAGAGGCTCCTCCCAGCCAGTGTAAATGACAGTGGCTCCTTTTGCTCCATGGCTCCTTTGCAGCTCCACTCCAGCAACATCTGCTCTTGGATTTCACACCCAGAAGTCAAGAGGGAACAGAGTTTTCAGTCCTTCTCCACTTAGCCACAGAGAGATGAGGCTTGTGCAGGGTCCAGCACACAGCTGTGCCATGAACTGCACTGGACAGGGTCTGGTTGTTCTGTATCATATGAGCAGACAACTACAACGACCTGTAGAATCTGCAGAGCTGGGAATTTACATATGCACTTGAATATGAGAACAAAGGTCTGCTCCATGTATCCATTCCTCTCTTGTTTCACAGAAATAATTAGATCTCTTGTTCTCTGCCTCAATCTCTACTTCCACTTTTCCCATAAGGTGGTTTAGCTGCCCTAAATTACAGATCAAAGAGCTAAATGCTAAAGACTGGGCTAATTCTCTCGTTTCTTGATGTAGTCTATGAAAACCCCAGACAGTTCAGAGGGCAATTCATCTCACCCTTAGATAGCCATCTCCAGTAAGCCAGAGAAACAGCTCTTTGGAGATGCATCTCTGCTCACTGCAAAGGAACCTCCTCCAGAGTTTGGCATATGCCTTTCCTGTGCTGAAAGTGGAGTGGGGCAAATCACATCTGCAGCTTTGTCCATGCAAAAAGCCATAAAGCTGTGGGGAGAGGAGATCACTGCAGATACAACCATGGCATTCTGAGGCAGTCCATCCCCTCTGCCCCACCTGCCATCTGCTGCAGCCACTCCAGCAGATGGTAGCGATCCCTGTGGCACAGCCAGTGGCACACGGACATCCTCCACACGCTGGCTGCTGAGCAGTCAGCTGGTGGCTCCTGGAGGCATCTGACGCTGACCTGGCTGAACTTTTTGCTGAAGCAGCTGAGGAATGTTTCTGCAGTCCCTCCCATTGCTCAGCTGTGGACTCAAAAGCTTTCACAAGAGGGGCAGGAACAAACCACAGGCAGCTGTTACACGAGATTGCATTATCAGGACATTAGGAATGAATGCAAAATGCTCCTGGAAGGTTTAGTTCTTCCAACTGATGCTTTCTTATTTCTGCTTGAGCTACAGAGGATCTCTGAAGAATCATCCAATTTGTTCTATATATACCCCAACTGGTTGTTATTCTTTGCCCTGGAGGGAGTTGCAAATTGTGTGTGCAGCCTGTCTTTTTGTAAAGAGATTGCACATGGAAGTATCCCCCTGCTTACACAGTCCAAGCAGATGGCACTGGGCAGGTAAAGAGCTATTCTCTGAGAAATGCTAGCTATGAACATTCTTTCAAACATTAATAACCTGAGAAACACAGCAGCAGCAATTAGATGTAAAGTGACATAAATTACTTCTCGAAGAGTCCATTAGTTAAAAAATGATGTGCATAAAAGAGAAGAACATAAAAAAAAAAGCACAATCCCATAAGCCAACATGAGCTGACCCAGTCTACCTGAGAGACACCCACAGCAGAAGTTTGTTGCAAAGACAAGGGAGCAGCTAATCTAGTGAAGGCAAGCTGGCCAGATGTTCTGTTTAGATTCTGATTGGTTTTTTATTGCCTGCTACTGCACATCAGCCCACAGCACTGACATGGGGAACTGAGGATGAATGCAGGAGGAAAGGAAATTTGTTATAAAACGCATCTTAAAAGGGAGGGATATGGCAAGGAATGAAGGATCTAAGGACAATGGGATGGACCACTCTTCATCTGTAGGTCAATTTTTATTGCATTTCAGATCAGCAATTGCGCGAGTCATTATTATCGGGTCAGTTTTATTGGATCAATTTGGCAATCTCAGTACAGCGTCTAATGTCGAGAGGAAAGATTTCAAAGACTGAAGAGATTTAGGAGTATAAGTCACACTCATGAGCAGTGGAACTTAAACTCTCTGAGAACTTAAGTGCTTTTGAAAATGGGACATGGTCTCCTCGGCCCTACACACACTTCTGGAAGCATTATCCCACTTGGCCACAGCGCAGCGTGGTGCCCGCCGGGCTCCTCGCTGTCACTCATGGCACACAAGTCAAGGACTGAGTGGTTCACAGCAATTACTGGCTTATGAATTTCTCCTCTTCTTCTTCTAAGAATAGTCCCTCCTGTTGAGAGTGGGCATGTTGGCAGGCAACGATGTAGAGAAATGTTTCAGTGAAGAAACAGAGAAACCTGTTGTCCAAAGAAGGCACCGTGGTACTTTCCATGAGTAAAAAAATGTTAAAAACTGAGAGATGTACAAATGAATATGATGCAGAGGCAGGGATAAACTAAATGAAACGTTGGCAGATGTGGAAAGATCTGATGTGCCACTGGGACAGTGAAGTCTGTTTTCCTGTAAGCACCAGGACTACAAAGGAAACCTGAAAAACTGTTAAATAAAACTGGGGTTTCAAAAGGAAGAGAAAATTTTCATTTTAGTTAATGCCAGGAGGAATATCTGTTTTCTTCTCTTTTGATTAAAATGGCAGAAAATGGCTGTGGAGAACCAGGGCTACAGAGCTGCTCTGGCCACCAGCAGTTGTGTTGCTGCTGCTCCCAACCAGCCTTCAGCTTCCTCAGCTGTGTATATTCAGAATCTCACCTCAGGGGGGTGTGGGGCACATCTCAATTCCACATCCTGCAGCCCAATCCCCATGCCTTATCCCTTTCAGATTCCACTTCTTTGGTCTCATCAGAAATTTTGAATGAGACCAAAGAGATCCATATTTTGAACGTAATAAATTACCCCAAGCTCCCTCTCAAGATCTTTGTCCTCACGTGTTAAACAGGTGCTGTCCCTTAAGAAATGCCAGTGGATCAGAAATTGTGGTGGTTGCCCCACAGCCCGGATCCTAACATCTGAGACTCTGGCTCTTCAACACAGCTCCAGTACCATTGCAGACGTGCATCCTGCCAGCAGGAAGTGCCCTGCCAGCAAGGGTGAAACAGGAGTGAGCTCTGGGCACCTCACCAGAGAACTCTGAGAAGCCCTGCTCCACCTGGATGTGTCCTTTCCTCACCAAAGAGCTCCGTGTTACTGAGGCTTCTTATAGCTGATCCTCATCAATCCAGACGGTTTTCCGCTGCTCCTCCCCGATCCTGTCCTTGATTGTCCGGATGAGATCCTCGATGCTGCTCCACGCCTCTGCCTCCACAGAGGCATAAAGGCAAGGCAGCGCTTCCAGCTCCTTCTCCTTCAGGCGGCACATCCGTAAAAACTCATCCTCGGCCTCCGGCTTCGGCAGCAGTTTCCTGCACCAAATGAGCAGACCAAAAATAAATGTCTTGCATTTTAAGTTAATCCTGTAGTCCCAGCTGTCCCATCAAGAATTTATTTTCTCCTAACTACTTAGAAGCAATAAAAGCAGTGAAGAATGCAGCTACTCCTGGTCTACCATCCCCTTACCTCCATGCTTCCTCCAAGGAGAAATATTTGCTAGGGGAAACACTTTAGGAGGATTGAATGGAGGGAGAGTGCAAGTGTTTACGAGCTCTCCTCTTCCAGCTTGCACTACCTTAAGAAATGCTGTGGGAGTGCTGAGCATGGAGTAAACCACATTTTCTTCAGTCTCATCCTCCCACAATACTCATTGCCACCAATGACAGTGAAAGAGTGCCAGATTTGGGGAATTCCTGCTTTCTCTGGTTGTAAGATTTCAGGGAGGAGTCATGGGAGGAAATAGTGCACAAAGAAGTACCAGATGGAGAGGGATGAGGGTCTTTATTTCTCTCAGTGAGAACATTATTGGACTCAAGAATTATTCACTGAATAAGATGGAACATCAAATATGCAAAAGGTTTGACATGTTACCTGAACCTCTTGATGTTTTTCTCTGAGACTCTTATAAAGAGAACAATAGGATATATCTTGGCTTTGATTAAATCCTTCGTGCAGCTTATTCCAGCTTCCAGGAGACAATGCTTGTTCTAAAAACAAAGTCATAACAGTGTCACAAAGGAAAATTCACTGCTGTGGAGTCTCAAGATAATGATATCTATCCCTTATGGGGTGATTTGGAAAGCTCTCTATTTACCATTGTACTGATTTAAAACCTTTTAATCAAATATACATTTAAAGTCCAGCTCCTCCTACTGGTTTAAAACTAGTCAGTCAAATAACAGCTGAGCTTAACAGCTTTCTAAAAAGGTTTCAAATGGGAATGGAATGCTCTAAAGATGAAAAATAAGATAAAATACCAGTTTTACCTTAGACACAAACACACAGAGTTGCTTTTTGTTCAGAAAGAATATCTATTGCAACTACTTGTGAGACAAAAAACCATCACTTTAATTCTCCTTTTTTTACCATGCTGTGCATCAAATCTACTCTACTTGACATCAGATCTCTGTCTTGGGCATTGTTATCTTTGTTCTGTACACCCCTGCATCTGGGTTTCAGGCTTCTCTTTCCTTTGTCTAGGTCCTTGTATCTCTTACTCTCTCGTGTATTCATATATACTTATGATATGAAAAGGAAATGAATAAAGGATGGAGCACAGAAAATGAAAGGATATTTAGCTGCATCTATGTGGGTCATCACAGGGAATGAGGGAAAATATAAAAGGATATGGCTGAGGATGGGAAAGAAAAAGAAAAGTAAGAGCACAAAAACCATTTGGGGGGAATAAATAAAAATCTGAGATTGAAGGAGGGGAGGAGAGAGGACATGCAATGGTAAATTGGTCAGTCTGATATCCAGGCCATTGCAGGGAGGTTCCCAGAGAGCCCAAGAAGGGACACAGAGCACTGTGAGCACCTTGGCAGCAACAGCCTCGATGTTGGCAGGTACAATACATTCGTATGTGTTCAGATTCTTTTCTCTGCTGAAGATGACAGTCTCTGTCCTTTGCTTCCTTAAGAACTCTTCCTTTGTTACAATATCTGGGAAGAGATGCGGATGGGGACAGAATCAAATTTACAGCAGCAGAACACGTAGAAAAGTATCCAGTAGTACTTCACATGGGATGTAAGGATGGTTCAGGGAAGGAGGATGAGCAATGAATTGTCTTAACAGCTGCCTCATTTCTTCCATTGAATTCAATTAAAGCCTAATCTGATCACAGCTGAGCATCTCAGCTATATCCTGCACCAATGAGTCCTTGGGCAATTACTACAACACTATGAAGGCATTAAATTAAAACAGTAAATACAATTCCAGCACCTAATGTTATATAGCAGCAGTTCAGGGATGGAGGATGCTGAGAAGTGCTAAAAAAGGTGGTCTCTTCAGCACAGCATCCTAAAATAGGGATTTAGTGTTCCAACATTTGTGTTTAAAGTTTAAAAAAAATTTGGCTTAGGTTGCAATGTGTGATACTGGCCCCCTTGTGACTTGCAGCTCTACATCAAAGCTTTTGTTTTATGTTGCAAGACAGGGGATATTTATTATAATACTTAACTTCTCAGTTTCTCTGTCTGGATGACTGTAAGGCAGCATACTATGCTGTGGGTATTCAATATTAGTGTAAAAATGAAACGTCAGCTCTGTTTAATGCTGGGTTGTATACAATCCTGCCCTGCAGCCATCACGGCACTGCGTACTGCTTTAATAGTAAATACTTAGCATGGAAGAAAATCAGTCTTTCCACTAGATCAAATGCACAATCTTCACAGCTTGGATGAGACAGAAACCTAAAGTTGCTCTAGGGAAGATATTCCTCATAATAGCAAATACTAGAAACAAATTAATCAAAATTTCACATTGCCTAGATATGCAGTATGCAAACAGTATGCAAACAGAAAGAGCACTCACAGCATTTCAGTCTCTGAGGGGCAGCCTAGCAACCACACAGCATACACATGGATAATATTTATAGACACAGAATCTCATAACCATGTGTACTGGCTGTCTCAAAAACATTCAAATATCCCAGATAGTCTCAAAAAGCAGGATTTACAGCTACACATCACTCTGATGTGACTTGAAGTACCTCAAGCAACTCTCACATGTGCATTCCCCTACGTGTGCACGCATATATACGTTCATATTTCCAACACAGAGGGCTGACACTCATGGCCCTCTCTTATCCCATTACCTGGCTTGCATATGTTGAATTCCAGGGCACCTCCAGAGTTGAGAAGTTTCTGCACCAAGGGCTTGGCCAGCATGGTGGGGGTGAACAGCACGGGGCGCCTGCGCTCGCAGTGGATGGGTCTCACCAAGCTGTAGGGGATCAGACTGAGCTTCTTATCCAGCTCACTCTCGGAATCCAAATCTGAGCAAAGAACAAGACATTTATCCTCTGGGTTCCTCCCCATCAATATTTGAATTAAAAAAGGAGACACACATGAACCAGAAATTACATGGCTAGTCATACTGGTCCTCCTTCCCTTTTACTGGGGTTATCTTTACTATACTCACAGCACTATGATGTCCAATCTAATACTAAATAATTCAACTGCCTTTTACTTTCAAGAGATTATTTCTTAACCTCTTCAACACAACATTTGCATGGAGACTCTCTGCTCGTTAGCTTGACTTAGTCTAAGTTAAATGTTTTGGAGCAAAAGGCAAGAAAGCACCTAGGAAAAACTGCCAGCCAAACAGGACATTTCAGTGTTCTAAAGCTGCCTGTGAAGGCTCAGTGCCCCAAGCTCTTTTAGCAAAATCAGTTTTGGTCACAGTTGCTGCTGAACTTTCGCAGAGTGGACCACAAATACAAGACCTGTGATATACTTCAAAGCCAGGCTGTTCTATAGGTGTTTATGTAGGCCTTTGTGTCAGTACTATGTATTGTAAAGGTTTCTTTAGATTTTTACCTTCCAGTTTATCAGGCAGCTGCTTCTTCCCTTCAGATGAGTTCAGTGCCAGGCCCGAGGGCCAGCCTGTGACGATGCGAACCCGCTCGTTGCTGTTCATTCGTTTGTATTTGTTCTCAGACCTACTGACAAACTAAAAAGGTGAACAGAAAAAAGAGAGGTTTGAGCCTCATTTCTTGCATTATTTACCCTCCCATGTATTAATCACCTGACGTTTGTTACCTATGAGATCTGAATCACTTGTGTCTGTCAAACACAGGACTCCATGGATGTGTGGAGTGAATTCTAAGACTCTTTAAATATCATAGATCTGCTTCAGAGCCTGTGTTAATCCCCTTTGGGATTTGTTATTTTGTTCTCTGCTCTTAGAGGCATGTTTTCTCTTCACAAAGCTCCCTGAAATCACCAGTACAAGCACTGATGTGTGTATCATACCCAGAGTATGTGCACAAATGTATCACAGGCTATACCCAAACTGCCTCTTCTTTGCTTTACCAGAGAGACTTAAAAACTCCCAAATGGCACCTTTTTACAGTCATTTTACATGAGAAATAGGCTTCATGCTTTCCTTCCTCATCCACCCGCCCATTCCTCTATCCAAACATTAACTCCTCCTCCTGTGTATTTGCTAACCTTTCTCAATCACCTTCCTTCACAAGGCTTTGTCTTTCACCCACACAGTCTCTGTTATGTTCAGAGTCACTGGCCCATAATTAAAGGACTATTTTCTCATGGAGCCCTATCTCAGAGACTTGGAGATTTGATCCAGCCCATTGGATTTGTCCTTATGGCACAAACAAAGCACGTTTCAGCCTCTGACGGCAGATGTGTGGGATTCCTCAAGGCACATCCGTAATGGAAGCCATGCTCTTGAAAACAAACACCCTACATCACAACAGAAAACACAACCCAGCCTTTTCCTTCATGCATTAAATCTCTTTTTGATAGGAATAAATTCCAATACAACCCCTAGACCTGAGCTGGGATTTCTGGGTGAATTAGGATAGCCTGAGAATACCTACTGTTCAGATCCACTATTTCAGACATTGCACTGAGGATTTGAACTTTATTACCTGTAAAATCTGGCCCAAAAGAAAGCTTGCTCTGGATAGGCGAGGGCTGGTTTTGGGGTCGTTCTGCAGGGCAGGCTCCTCTGGCTGCAGTGTATTCTAGTAAAAAATAACACAGGAGGCTTTCTCACCCCTGCTCTTTTTCACATTTTTTAATCAGAACATTTCAGAAACAAAAGAAGCCAAACCAGATATTTTCTATTTCCAACAAAAAGTGATTGATACCTATCCCAAACACAATGTTCTAAACAAATAGTGGGCATAGCACAGCCTGTGCTGACAAACACTGCTCTTTCACTGCTCTTCACATTCCTTTGGTCACAGACCTAAAAAAGAGATAATTTCTGCACCAAGAAAGAGCATGCACAGCTTTTGCTTTCACAAGCACCTCTGCCAGTGATCTCTGTCCCTTTGATCAGTGGGGCCGTGAGCACAGAAGGAATGTGTGACACTTAACCTTGACTAACATCAAGCACAAGCACTGTCTACCTGTCTCTGTAAAACTCAGAAGCATAAATGTCTCCCAGACTCTAAAAATAACTTACGGTAACTAACACACCAGGAAGGCAGTTTTAATTATGTAAAAATGGAATTTTGGGGTCTAAAATGCTTTTAGTGATGGAAAAGGGAAAATTTGAAGTGCTGTTGTGTGCAAAGGCCTGATAATCCCAGTTCTCCCCACAGCATCCAGGCTGGAAGAGACAGGTTTTTCCAAAGTGGGGCAACAGACTCTGTGGTTTAGAGGCTTATCCACAACAGGAGAGAAATAATTCTGATTATTAACTGCAAGGACACAGCTTCTTCCTCGTGTATACATGAAGATGCATTAAATGTTTACATGTAGAGAAGCATGAGAAGGGTGACTAACACCCATAACAGAGTTTGAACTTTTAAAGTGTAGTCCTTCCTAGCTGGAAGGGTTAATAGCAAGCCAGAGCTGGGTTCATTCCCAGGGACAATATTATTTAAAGCAAACAGAAGGTGCCCATTGCCTGACACAATCAAAACCTGCGGGGAGCGTAAACAGGAATTTCTGTAAAATGATGATGAAAAATGAAAAATGAAAAACCAGTAGCAGGGGAGTATGAGGTGTTAAAAGGACTTTGTTTGTAGATACTTACCCGCAGGGCCCGAAGGGTGTTGTAGGAGTTTTCTGTCTCATCTTTGCTTCCTCTGTGCATCAACCGCTGCAGCTTCACCAAAAGGAGTTGCTGGGCTCTGAAAGAAAGGATGAAATCACACAGATCACAATGTTTTTGAAACCATTAACAAGAAAGCTGGATTGCAACGGGTCTGTGCCTACAGAAAAGATTAAACAGAAATAGCAGTGAGGACTGACTGAACCATGCAGTAAAGGCAAGAACAAAACAATATGAAGAACTGCAGTGCAGTTAAGTTAAGGATTAAAAGATATCCATGGAATACTTGCATGATACTTTTGGAGGGACTCCATTTTTTCAAGTAACATCTGTAATCTCTGTTGTTGTTTTATAGCTCTTACTACACTTTAACATCAGACTTTACCTCAACATTTAAGACATAGACACCTCTTTCCTTACAGTAGCAATTAAGTTCTCTGTTTCTAGATCCCTGCTCTCAGTAATGGTCACTCAGTATCACTCTCACCTGCTGTAGCTGGGAATGGTCCCCATCTCCAGGTCCCTGTCAGTGAAGGGATCCACCCTGGCACACAGCCACTCACACCTGCCCTGGTACATGGTGTCAAGAATGTGGACGATCTCATCACATTTCACTGTCAGGGAGCAGCAGTCCAGCTGGCTGGAGATGTTCAGGTTCAGGCGGATGTGAAATGAGTCCCCCGAGGTGATGAGCCCTTCCTCCAGCTCCGACAGCAGCTTGCGGTACCCTGCAGCAGGGAGGGGAGGGTGAGGCAGGATCTGCCACTCTGCTGCTGCTGCATTCCCACAGCACCAACTCCTCAGGCTCCTTTCAGAGAGGTTTGTACTCCCAGAGTGCTGCTTGCAGCAGTTCCAGCCAGATCATGGGCCTGCACCTCAGAGACACAGATGGGCAGTGGCTCAGGGACAGCCCATGCTGCTGCTGTCAGCGCTGTGGGAATATTCTCATTATAATGCTACTTTTAGGCAACTCCATTCTCAGTACTCCCCCCATGACCTGTAGAACAAAGAACTTCTCAGCAAAGACACAGACACAGCTATAGCTCTGCCCTCTAAGTACCGTACGAGTTCTGCCACTGATTTTAATGACAAGCTATTCTCCTTATTATTAGCTCTAATTGGCACTCCCAGAATCTATAACATGCTTTATCTGCAGTTAAGTGATGCTCAAAAAATTGCAAGTCTTTCCTACAAGTGAAAACATCAAAGAAAATCAAAGGCATGATTTCCTGCGTGATCTATGCAGCTGAAATTCTCTAACCAGCATAAAAACATGAATGCCCATTTATACACACCAGTAAAGAATGGATTTTGGAATGTAATTTTTGATCCATAACCTGAAATTATCATTATAGAACCTGAACACTAAAATCAAATTCTATTCGCCACACATGAACTCCAGCTGTTAAAGATAAGATAAAGCCACAAAGGTAATAAACAGGGCAACACCATCAGGTAAATGCTAAATCAACCAGCTGGATAAAGATCATTCAGCTCACCGCATCGTATTGCAGAAAACTGTACATAAAAATAAGCTTGAGTATGTTTCATGAGTCATGCTGCTATTGGCCACCATGTAAATTTTTCAGACTCCTGTTGACAAGCACATGTTGTTTTTTTTTCCTCAGACACCAGGCTAAAAGCTGAAGCAGCTCCAGGAGGAGCTGTAATTAACACCAGTGGCATGATCCAGATTTATCCCAATACAAAGGGTATGCTGGTCCTGTCACTCTCTTCCAGACAAGTTGCTATAAAAGCCTTGAGACTACTTGAGATAAGAAATACTTTTGGTCTTACCTTCATGGTTTGATTTATACTGGAGTGTTACTGGACCACTGCACCTCTGAATTGTCCAGTGAACTTCTTCCTTTGTGCAAGTATCCAAAGGAACACTTTGATTTTCCCCTTTAATGCAGCCCTCCAACTAGATATGAAAGAAATATTACTCTCCAGTGCAAGTTCAATCTCTGAGTCAATTAAGTAATTTTTTTAAAGTGCCATGATCTTTTTGTTATTAAACAGTGCAGACACTTTGTTACCAAAATGTAGATTATGTCCTAATTATATAATTCTTTTTCTCTCAAATTAGGAATACTAGCAGTAAACAGAGCTGCAGCACTTGCACAATCCCAGGCTTCTCTGGGAGTAAGAAGTGCAGGAATATAAAATACGGAGGATGTTTTTTTCCCCCTTGGAGGCATTTGAACAGGGAAATGGTTTGGGAACATTGGCAATGGAGGGAAAACTAAGTAAAGAGAAATTTGGCAGAAGCATTGTTGAACTTGTGCTCATGGGATGCCAGGGACAGCACAGGTGGGTGGGCAGACCCGGGGCTGCTTGGTGACGATGCCATGCTCACCAGCAGGATCTGGTGTCCCTCCCGAAGGCCAGCTTTCTCTGCAAGGGAGCCTGTCTTGACAGAGCTGACGAAGCTGCCTTTGTCATTGCCCCCGAGCAGGGTGATCTCCGAGGTGAGGCTGTCCCCGTTGAGCGTCACGCGCTGGATCGTGTGACACGAGCTCCGCATGCGGCCCACAGACGTGACAGAGGGACGGAAGGGTCTGTGTCCAGGAGAGGAAGGGACAACTTGTTATCCCACTCTGAGTTAAATGAGTGCATGAGAAACGAGAGCTACACAAATAAACTTCTAGCATTATCAAGCACTAGGATCTAAGGACTTTAAAAGAAATCCTCCTCGTTACTGCACAAGTTCTGGAGAAGAGCATCTCTGAAAACCCAGTGTATAAAAGTTCTCAGACTACCATAGTTCTCCACTCAGCAAGCTCTTGCAGCAAGACAGCAAGATCACAAGGAGAAATTGAAGCCTTTAGAACATTTTTTCTGCCTTTAAGTTTTTGAATTTTCAGGCTGACCATCATAGGTTTACAAAACATGAAAGGGCTCCAAGATAGTGTTATACTGCTGCCACCATAATCACTCCTGCTGCTATAACTTCAGCAGCTAGTAAATAAATAGAGTTTCTACCACAGCACCCTTTCCTCTCAGTCTCTAAGGTAAATAAATTGGCATCTCAAATACCTTTCCAGAGAGAACTTTCTAAATATGGAGTTGACATGCTCAAGCTCATAGGCATCCAGGCCTTCTGACTGATGAGAAGAAGAGGAAGAGTGCACTGAAGGAGCTCCATGTGAATGCCTGTCGTGACTGTCGTCTGGAAAGAGTAACAAGAATGATGAGTCCTAGATAAAGTGACAACAATAGAAAAGGGGAAGATGAATTTTAATTGATCCCAGCCCAAGCTGAAGTAGGAAATTCTTCATGCAGAAGTATGATTCATAACCACAGGACATGGCACAAGGAATGCCAATCTCATAGAAGAGAAAGTGGGGAGGGACCTCTGGAGACTGTCTAGTCAAAGGTCACTGTAGGGTCAGCTCAAGGAGATTGCTCAGGTCTTTGTCCAGCTGGGTTTTGATATCTCCAAGGATGAAGAGTATGGCTAAAACTCTTTGGACAACCCTGTTCCAGTGTTTGACCACCCTCAGGGTAATAAAACTAACCATTTTCCCTCTTAGCTCTTCAGGAATGACTGCTTTCCCCTTCTCACCACTGGCAGACCCTTTGTTTCCTTGATTTACTCACAGGCTGTGTGTCCCATTTACTTAGAGCAGGGCTGGTTATCTGACAGTCTCTGTAGCTGGGGAGCTGATCACATATTAGCTCATATTTCAATTTTACACAATATCCTCTTGCTTACCATCCATCTCCAAAGCATCACATCCAAAGCTGTCATTGTCCTCTTCAGCCAGGCTGGAATTAAAAACAAAGCATGAGATAATGGAAGAGAGAGAAAGCTGAACACTTTCAAGCTTTCAGATTTCCAGCTTCAGTAGATTTCATTAAGTTCTGAAGGAGGAACTTCTTCTGTGAAAAAGGAAGATGTAGGAGGTGCTGCATCAGCCAATGGTGCAGCTGCAAAAAAAAAAGCAAGTGACATCCTTGAGGGTCCAGGGAAGATAAAGAAAAAGGAGATAACGTGTCAGCCAGCATGGGAAGCATGTGAAACTGCAACAAGGTTCAGAAGGAAGAACTGCCAACAGCAGTGAGGGGATGAAGATTTTGCTGAGGATGACAGGAAGCTGCTGACTGATGGTCTGGTGTGTGACTCACGCCACGCTTGGCTCAGCACAGAGGTGAAGGGCTGCACCATGCCTGCTGTGCAGGCACTGCACCGTGGGGTTTTCCACAATAGAGCAAAAAGCCAGAAGTTCACTGATGGACAGAGTGAATGCAAGGGAAGTTACTGAGGTGCAGCAGAAGAGGAGTAATTTATCTGCTTGATTTAAAGTACTTGAGGCATTTTATAGCAGTTTCAGGGTAGCTCTCATGGCTACTCAGGTACCTGCAGTACAGAATGGCAAAGTGCTCGAGGCTTCTGCACAGGAACTGCCACAGCTCTGCTCCCAGCCCAGCTCCCAGTGACACAGCCTTTCCTGCAAAGGTCACCAGCTTGGCTGGCCTTAAAGCCACTCTAAATTCACTAAAATTTTGCTCTTACAGGGGTATTGGGGCTGTCAAGCCAAGTGAGTGATCTGTCAGCTTTACTAGAAGGACTTCATTAAAACATGTCCTTTGGTTGCAAAGCTGTTTAAATAACAGCTTGTTGTTTTTCCCATTCAAAATGATTTGTAGGTCTCCTGTGGAGCTGATATTCCTCATATTTGGCTTCAGCTGAAGGGTGAATTTTTGCAGCCAGCCTGAAGAGAATCAGCTATTTTTACACCATGCATAAGCAGGGAAATAATGTACCTTTTCCTACATTAAATGATGATCTCACCTTTTTTTCCAGACAAATTAAGAAGAGATGAACTGTGAAACCTGCAACTTGGCTTGCAAACAGTAATTATTCTGGATTATATTCACAAATAAGTTCCAAAAATTTATCATTCTAATTATAAAGTTATAAACTACACTGAACTTTTGGGCAGGCTCTTGAGATACTTGACTTCAGTGATTATCAGCCCAACAAAGTAAGTTCCCATTCAGACCTTGTTCCAGGGTACCTGTTTTTTCCACATGAAGAATATCTAATATGAGGGAAAAATTCAGATTTCAGTACAACTCAGTCTTCCAATGCCTTAACACACAGAACAGAATACAGTCAGAATTACAGTGAAGTAAGTCCACAAGATGAATAATCTCCATGTAATCTCTACTGTGTTCTGTAATATACTGCAAATATTGAAAAGTTCAGGCATGCCAAAGGCTTCTCAAGCACCTGAAGCACAAAACATTCAAATCATTAATAAAACCCCCCTTTTCTCTATCTTGAATTGATACAACACACTTTAAAAAGGGACTTGGAGGACAATGAAGGAGAAGCTAAGGGAGATTAAAATAAACACTGCTTAAATCCTCAGCAGCCTAGAAAATTATGTGGGAGAACCAGCTGAGGATGCCCTCAGTGGAAAGCTGTCTTGCAAAGCTGTCCAAAGAGAGAGGCAGAAATGGCAGTCTGCCCAAGATCAGATTGTTCTGAAAAACATAAAAACCTGAATAAAGTTCTAATAAAAATTAGATATTAAAAACAGATCTAATAAAGATCTAAACCCGCCACGTATATTGCTTTCTTCTAAATTGGTCTGCTCTGTTCTTTTCTCCTTTAGGGAATGTATTTGTGTCTCCTGGTATTTGTGATGCAGACACTGATGCTATTGACACCACACCAACACAGCATGTCTGAGTATCACACTGCAAAAAACCTTCTAGAAAAGGGGTCGGTGCCCTTTAGGGAACTGTGAGGCTGGGGAGGTCTCTTTCCTTCCTGCCACCAACTTCCCACTCACCAGCTGATGTGATTTCACTGCCAGGGGAACTCCAGGGGCCCTGACCTGGCAGAAGTGGAAGCTGCAGCAGAAGGTGAAGCCAAGGGCAAAGCTTCTCTGCTGAGAAACAGATCCTGAGACTCACAAAAACCAGCTCCCTCCTCTGCTCCTCCCCTCACTCCTCACAGACTGCAAGCAGCTCTGCTCTACTTCTGCAGCTTCTAGAGAGAAGGGGGGGCTTTGAGAGAAGGGGAAAGAACCACGGGGACATGTGGGCAGCAGGGAGCTGAGGGGCAAAAACCGAAGCTGGATCAGTGTGCAAAGGCAGAGAGAACACTCTCAACTGTAGCATCAGTGCGGAGGTGTTCCAGTCCTGTTTGTGTTTCTGTCCATTACACTCAGGGCTGCAGTGCTGTCACTGTCATTGATGCCAGCTGAACTTCAGGCATTCCTGAGAGCTTTGGACAAAATATGGGATGCAGGGCTGAGCCTTGAGAAGTTTAGGTTAATCCTATGCTTTACAGACAGAAACAGAGGACACAGTCTCAAGCTGTGTCATGGGAAATATAGGTTGGATATTAGGAAAATGTTCTTTACAGAAAGGGTGATAAAGTTCTGGAATGGTCTGCCCAGGGAGGTGGTGGAGTCATCACAAAAAAAGACTGAATGTGGCACTCAGTGAGGTGTTGGGGCATGGGTTGGACTCAATGATCTTTAAGGTCTCTTCCAACCTGGGCATTCCGTGATTCTGTGAATTCTACAGCGGCTCTGCAACCAGAGGCAGACACGAGGACCTCTGCAGCCCCTGTCCCTTGTCCCTGTGGCAGCAGGCTCGGGGCAGGCTGCCCTGTGACCCACCTGCAGTGAGGGGTGTCCTCCTTGCAGCGCCGCACGATGGAGTCGTTCCCGGGGGGCTCGGGGGTGGTTGACATGATGCTGTCGTTGCGATTTCGCAGGGTTTGCTTTGAATGAGAAACCAAAAGGTGTCAGAAAGGTTACCCGGCTGAAATAAATGTGCTCTCACTTCTCACTCACAGCAGCGTTAGCAAGGGTGCTCTGCACTGGCTGTACTCTGCACTGGGAAGCACACACAGGAAGAGAAGTTGGTTCTAGCTCTGCAGAATCCAAGAGCACTCATATATCCCAGTTTTTAGCACAATGCACAGCTTGTGTGCTGGCACTGCACCTTCTCCTGTGACCACACAACTGCCTGATTTACTGAGCCATTGTAACTTTACTTCTGTGTGTGGCACAGCTGACATAGGAGGAGGGGGATGAAAAGCAGTATGTGTACTTATATAAATATATATATAGTTGGAATGAAAAAGAAAAATACAGACCTCTATATATTAAATAATTAATCTTCCAGTGCACTGGAAACTAAACCCTGAATTGCACTAGAGGGAAAACAGTATAAGTCATCTAAACATCCAACAGATACTCCAAAAAATTATTCCTAACCCAGCTAAGCTTATTACGAGTGGCAGCAAGTTCTTTCCTGGCTATTCTTGAGTATAATTTTAATTTCCTGGGGGCAGCATTTTTCACGGTGTTCTAGAAAGATGTTTTGTTCTTTGTTATTAACACTCTGCAAGAGCACTCTCTCTATCTGCCTGTCCTGCTGTGACAGTGCTCACATATGTATAATGGAATATCTACCTTGGAAGATTATGGGGATACAGCAAGCAGGGAAGAAATGGTTTGACTACGGTATGCAGAAATTTCCAACTGTGATCTGCACCCCTTTCCTCACTCACTGTTACTTATAGACAGGAAAAGCATTATAGAACTCAAAAAACCCTTAAAATTTTCTCAGATAAGTTACAAAGCAGCTTTTAAAGCAAATCCTTTTCTTCTAACAGTAAATGTTAAATGGCATAAGGAGACAGCAAGAGGTCATAAATACCTCTGAAATATCTTTAAATAAACATAAACCAATTCTGTGATTTTGGGAAAGGCTAATAAGATAGTTCTAACAAAATGCTGGTTAAAGGATTAAGGGAGCTTCTGACAAGGGCCTTGAATAGGATCACAGCTGGGATGCTGGGGCAGTGCTAATACTGAGCTGTGCAAGCTCTGAACCACATTAGGAGAGATGGCTGTAGACAGGCAAGGGGCATCCTTACAATCTTGGTGACTTCACAGCTGCTGATGGAGTTACTGATGGACACAGAGGAGCTGGTGTCCGTGCGGCCGGCGCTGCCCTCGGCCCCGTCTTCGTCCTGGGCTCTGACTGCTGCACTCGCGGGGACCAGGGAAGCACACAGAGAAAACACACCAGAGACAAGCAGGTCAGAGCACTTCCAGTGCAGAGCCTTTCTCAGATGTGCCACTGCACTCGTGTTCCCTCTCCATTGCAGCTGCTCTTGTACTGAACAGGGACCCTGGACACGCTCCTGCCCTGCAGATCCAGCTCCCGCTCCCCAGGAGTTCCCTGCAAATTCCCACCCTCTGCACAGACTCCTGCTCACTTTGTCTCTCAGCTCTGTCCTGGGTGTTTTTAGTAGATCAGTGAATGCTATTTGACAAATTAAAGGATTGTTTCATGAATTTATGTTTTAATTACACCACCTGAATCTGGCAATTTGCAAGGCTGGCTCGTTGAATTACACTTTGTTACAACAAAGAATTTACAGCAGGGATCAAGAAGCCCGAGATCCCTCAGCAGTGCCAGGTGACACAGAGTGACTGTGGACTCCTTCCCTTCCTCAGCACCTCTGGCTGGTACTAATGTTGCACACTGCCTGGCAGCAAAGCTGCTGTTTAACATGGAATTCCTTGGAGCAGGAGCTGTGATTCCCAGGGTATTTTATCCAACAGGGCCACACGCAGCTACTGAAGGAAGTTCTGCCCCTGATGGTATTTGGTGTTTCAGGGGTAGTGTTACACAAACAGGAGGAATCAGGAGCAGCTCAAACATGAGTGTACAGCAACAAATTTGGTAACTTGGCAGCTGGCTGGGGCATGGGTCAATCCCCTTCTCCCACCCTTTGCAATGCTTTAGATTTAAAATTAATTCCCTTTTGCCGAAGGACAAAGGAACTCATTAGACAATCACTAGATTAGGGCCTTTTCAGCTTGAATGATTTTTCCAACAGCAAAAAGAGAATGGTGTAATGATTTTAGTACAGATGTTACAGAAATGACATTACAACTTTTGTAAACTAAATGGAAAACGGAGGAAACAGAATATTTAGGTAAGCTATGGGATGCATATTGTGTTCCTGGGGAGGTACCTTTGGATGGAGAGGACAATGAAGTAGAAGTCTTGACCACTTTTAATCATTACATTTGTAATTGTGAGAGAAACTGTTTTTTTTTGGTTTTTTTGTTTGTTAGTTTGGGTTGTGTTTTTTTTTTTTTTTTTTTTTTTTTTTTTTTTTGTTTTTTTTTTTTTTTTTTTTTTTTTTTTTTTTTTTTTGACTTGGACTTAGTTAAGAATTTCCCTGGTTGGCATGTTTGTTAAAACAACTTAAAGAGATTAAGTGAAAGAGACAAAGCAACGGAAAAGGAATAAGGACATGGGTGCTCTTTCTGACCTTGAAACTCTGATGTTTTGTTCATGCTGACAGGAGATTTAGCTCTTGGACTTATCTAAAAGAAAGAGGACAAAAATCAGCACAAATGCAGAATATTTACCACACACTGTAAACCAGATATTTTCATCATCTTTTTCCACTGCTATGTTGTAATATACTTCCCCTCCTTTAAACAACAGGACCCAAAATTTAGAAGATATTTAGGTATCTAAATACAACAGCAGTGATGGAGGGTGAGCCACCTGGCTACTTTTGAATGCCTGGCCCAAATGCATTGCAATTTCCAGATTCTGATGAAGAAAAAAGGAGACAAAAGGTGAAGTGGGTGCCTTGGGACTGGTTTCAGGCAGCTGTTAATACAACAGGCATCCTTTTGGAGTGTACAATGTGAAAAGTGCTGCTCTATTGCCATAAGTAATAATGACAGTCAGAGCTCAGGAAGGTTATGAAGGGCAGGGAGAATTCAAGTGCAGATGAAAGGAAAGAGAACCTCAAAAGCCCTAATGTTAGATTTTTGTGGGTTTTTTTTACTGATCGTGAATTCAGCATCAGATAATAGCCATGTGAATGCAGCTAGTCAGGGAAAGCATGAACCTAACTCATGCTACCCCCTTCCTATTAGGGGTGAGGAAATTGCCATAATTTAATTCTAAATTAGATAGTTAATTTTGCTCCAGATTGTGTCCATTTCTTTCTATTTTTCCTTCCAGCTGCTGAGAGCTTTTCACCAATGCTTCGTTTTTCACCTTCAGCGTGCATTGGACCTCAGGCATTATGTCATTTTTTTTTTTCCACTAATGTTAAGAAGGCAAAGAATCAATTTATTGACAACTCTCTGAGAATGTGAATGAACAGCAGAAGCGAGAAGAAAACAGAAAATGGAGAGAAGGGACAGAAAACAGTCTATGAAGCCTGATTAGATCTGCTCCTCAAGATGCAAATCACCACAGGGCAAAAACTATCACGCACAACTCACTATCATACACAGATCTGTTCTTATCTTTACAGCAGTTTCAGAGGCACAGCCACACATGTGTTATGTCTGATAATTGTAAAAGTCCCTGCTCTGTGTTATTCCAGCCTCAGATTCAGACACACCTGGATCCCCTTTAGGTTCACTCTTCTCTTGAGACGAACTTGATCAGGCAAGAAGAATTTGCTGTCTTCAGGAGAGTCCTCAGAAGTGGAGGAGTCATCGGCTTCCTGACCATTGGCTTTTGGGCCAGAAGTCCCAAAGGCCTGGGAGATAACGGTAATGGGAAGATTCCGTGGCAAACTCTAAAAATCACAAGGGAACACTTTATTTCTGAGACCAGTTTGGTACAACAAACTCATGACCTTCCTTTAGAGTAATCTGATTGAACTTATTGCAACTCCAGTGCTTCAGAAGCTCACACAGAATGTGGCTTCAGACCCAGTCAGTAATTTGGGCTGAGATTTGTGGGGATTTCTGTTCACAGACTGAATTCTTTTTCACTCACGTTCCTAAAAAATATTTGTAGTTTCTACCCCAGTGTAGAAAACATTTGATTTTCTGCATTTTCCCCCTTCCATTTAAAGTCAAGCTGTGGGATGGCAGCTTTTGGGAAACCACGTGCAAAACAGACAACTTGAAAAACACTATACCAAAGAATTCACAACATTGACATTTAGTAGGAGATTATTTTTTTCAGGTAATTAATGGAAAGAATTTGAAAAGTCCCCTCTGCTTTTCAGACCAAAATGTTTGTGAAAACAAGTCTTAACAAGTCTCTTCCTTATCACTCTCTACAACACTCTGAAAGGTGGCTGTAGTCAGGTGGGCTTGGTCTCTTTCACCAGGCACTGACAGAACCAGAGGTCACAGTCTCAAGCTGCGTCAAGGGAAATATAGGTTGGACATTAGGAAAACTTTCTTTACAGAAAGGGTGATAAAGTTCTGGCATGGCTGCCCAGGGAGGTGGTGGAGTCACCGTCCCTGGATGTGTTAAACAAAGCCTGGATGTGGCACTGGGTGCCAGGTTTAGTTGAGGTGTTGGGGCTGGGTTGGACTCGATGATCTTTAAGGTCTCTTCCAAGCTGGTGATTCTGTGAATTCTGTGAACAAAAGGGATGATGTCTGCCTTGCTCAGCCGTACCTGGTCGAGGAAGTTGCTGTCCTTGGAGAGGCGCCGCAGTTTGCACTCCAGGTTGACGATGCACGCTTCCTTGCGCACCACCTCGATGCGGAGCTCATCGTTCCTCTCCTCCAGCTCCCGGATCTGCTTCCTGTACTTGTCCTTCTCGATCAGACAGTGTGAGTACTGCGTCTGAGCCTCGTCGCGCGAGCGGAACGCCTGCAGCGGGGCAGGAAACCTCCTTGGCACCTGGGCACCAGAGCCTCCTCCTGCTGCTTTTGTTTGTGAGGTGTTGGCAAGGGGCACTTCAGCAGTGGTGCCCAGCCACCCGTTAACACAGCAGTCAGGACCAGGACGTGCCACAGTAGCACCATTAGAAATGATGATGATGAGGGTGGTTCATTTACGGCTCCCTCTGCATTGGTGGGAAAACGTCCCAGAGTGCAAATGGGGTGACTTGACACTGATGTACAGCCTTGCAGGAGCTGCTGTTAAGATCCCAGTCCTGCCTGCCAGATGCTACACTGTGGAAACAACCCAATATTACCCTGTGTTTAATTACCATAATGCAAATCCCAACAAGTAATTCTTTGAACTGCTTATTTTATAATGGTATTTTGGGCCCAATTACCTACAATTCCCCAGAGCGACACAGAGCAGATAGAGGCTTTTGCTATTGATTTTCCCCTGCTTTAACTGTGAGATACCTGGTCTCGCTCCTTTTCTACCTCTTCCAGCTGTATCATCACAGTGTTCATGCGGTGCTTGTACATCTCACAGTCTTTTCCTAGTGTTGAGCACTTTAACTCCAAATCTTCTTTCTCCTCAAGATACTGGAAATGACACACTGTTAGCCACCACTGCTCTCAGAGGCATTTTGGGCACCAGCCTGATATCCCATCTCTCTACCCTTCCATTCCTCACCTTGTCTCTCAAGTCCTCCACATGACGAATCTCCTCTTGGAGATTGAAGATCTTGTTGACCAGCTCATGGCGATCCTCCAGTGCCTCCTTACGGTCGTGTTCCAGAATATCCAAAATGGCTTTGTCTGAATCTGGCAAACCCCTCTTGTCAGCCTGAGGAAAGACATTTTTTTAGAGCCAGGCCAGGGAAACAGAAAATAGTTCTGCAGGGAGAGAAGTATCAGAGACAGTAACAAGCAAGAGGAATAGCAAATGAACAAGGTATTGCAATGGGAAAGCAGGAGAAGAGATGGACATCTGTTCATATTTTAAAGCAGTGTCAGAAAAGATGAATAAAATCTGTCTTGCTGTCAGAATAGTCTGATGAAGGAACTCTTTTACTGGTCTATTGTACTGGCTATAATTTGATCCAGTTTGGATGCAATGACAATTCTTCACTCCAAGCCCTGAATTCAAAACTCTTTTCTATTAATCAGCTCTCACTGAGCACAAAAATCACCATTTTCCAAAGAGCAGGGCCTAAGAAAATATTCAGGAGAATTTTTAAGGCATGCACAGGCTTTGCAGAGCTGCGCTCAGAGAATATTAAACATGCCTGGAGTACCTTGTACCACTGCTTCATTTTCTACACCATCCAGGAATATAATTTCTTGTAGAATTAAAATGAACAAGATTACCAAAGCAGGTTCCAACGAATAATTGCCATCCAAAATTAACCATAAATGGAAGATGAAAAAAGCATAAGATGCTAGCAAGGAATATGCCTATTTGTTTTTGAAATGTCTAGACTGAGTTGGAGATTTCAGGGACATTTAGGTTACTCAGTATTTCTAAGCATACCTAAGCATTTCTAAGCCAAACTGATTTGAGTTTATTTATACTTTTACTTAGGAGAATTTAAATCCTATTTTTAGCTATTTCTCTGTTTCTTTAAGTGCTGTAAGACTATTTCAATTAATAGAAGACACCTACATGGACCAGAACTCCCAGAATCTTCTATTCTACACTTTTTTCTAACATGTGAATTGGATTTGTGTTAGAACTAAGAATCGTTAGGCACTGCTAGAGGCTACAGCCATTTCTGAAAAGCCTTCAACTGATAATTTTTAAGTGTAATTTTAAAATGCCAGAAGCCTTTTCTAACAAAGTGCTAAATGCTAATCACATATATCCCTATATTTGGCCAAGTTGTTCACAGAGGAGTCCTAAATGTGCTGCACATCAACTGTTTCCCCACCTGCCCAAACACAGGTTGGTGAAGCTCCCCGTGCAGGTTAGAGCAGGGATCTGCAGGACACCCTGCTGCTTAGTGACCACTCAAGTACAGGAACCTTTATCACCCTCTGCTTCATTAAAACCTTTTGGCAAAGCTATGACAACAGCCTAACACAGGGTACACAGAATCACTGTCAAAAAGTTCTGTGCTGGCTGTTTAACACAGATTTGTAATGACAGGCTGGTACAATGTTCAGCAATTAAACACTGCACTCTTGGAAGAGCCAATTTCTCATGTACACTTGATTTTTTTAGAGGACTATTTTTGTAGAACTCCTCCTCATGCATGTGTCTGTACAGGAAGCACTCCAGGCAGCTGGGAGCTGTACAAGCAGCCTTCTGTCTGTCCAAACTTTGCACTTCTGCTGGTTGCAGCTTTGCAGCAGAGGTTTCAGCCAACACCTCCTGCACTGCAACCAGAGTATGTGTGAGTTTGGATTTAAAGGCAGAAATCTGCTTTTATACCTGAATGATGGACTGTAACTCCTGGATTTTAGTCTTCATCATCTCATTTTCCCGCTCCAGCTCCAGAACCTGTTCCTTTTTGGGTCGGTTTTCAATATCATTTTTCAGCTTTAAAGACTGGTTCCTCTCCAGTTTGCACTCCTCTTCCACCTTGTTCAAGCGATGTTTCAGCTGGTCAATCTAGAGGGAGCAGAGAAAAGGAGAAAGAGGAGAGGAAAGGGATCCTCCCTAACTCTGACACTTAATGCTCTGAAAAATCTTTCACTTCCAGGTGGAAAACATCCAGGGGAAAATAGCCTAAGCTGTGAATGCTAATGAGTGGTTGATAATTGGGTGCTGAATGTCCTCAACTTAACTGGTGAAGTCTCAATTACAAACCTGCTACTTGCCAGTTACAACTCATATGGGCTGGTTGTGGAATTTTAGAATACCTGGACTAAAAAAAGTGGCACTTCTCAATCCTCCAATAAACAAAGAGATATGAAACAGAATGAACAGAGGCTGACCACACACTGTGTTTTTTGCACATGGACTATATGGATCAGGAAAAGCAGAAAATTCAGGATATCTTTCTGAATAAATCCCCAGGAGGTGTAGTGCTGCTGGATAACTGTACCAAGATATTACTGAACCTAAAAAAACTAAAATTAAGTTTTTAGCAAGCAGCTGTTTTACATTTTATTTGTATCTGCATTCTATTCTGTTAATTAATTATCTGCCATTAATACAGCTCACTGCAGTTGGCATTTCTGTACAGTGATGCCTTCAATAATCTGGATAAGCAAAGCAAATGAGAGCTCCACATCATTCTGTTGTCAGAGGAGATCTCATTTTCCCAGATGCCACTGGCACCCTCCATTGCTGCCCAGAGCATTTATCTCACCTCCAACTGCAGGTCACGGCTCCTTATCACAGCCATGCTCTTCTCGTCACTCAGCTGGGCATATCTCATGGCCAGATTGTAGTTCTCATCTTTCACCTTGACCAGCTCATCATTGTAGTTATTCCTCTCCTCCTTCATCTTGTTGTATCTCTCCTGGAAGGTCAGCAGCTCGATCTTGTTCAGCTTTAGTTGCTTTCTCTCATCCTCCAGCTGGCGGGACTTGGCCAGGAGCTCACAGCGCTGCACATCTTTTGTTTTCACCTGCTGCTGGAGCTTGATGATCTCATTCATTAGGAAATGGGTAAGACCTTCGTGTCCCTCCTCCACTGAAAATGTTTGAACAGCTTATCAATGTCTGGTAAAGTACCTTATTTACATTAGTTTATTAATAAGGTAATATGTAGGATCAGCAGAACTAAATAAGAAACAAATGGCCCAGAATATGTACAGAGGTACAGAATTTATGCAAATTCACACACATCTGTATATCTAAGTAGGAACAGTACAAATATTACCCAGCACACTGGTATCAGAATCACAATATACACATATACAGCTTGTCTGGGTAGAAGATGAAGTCTTTACATTTGTCTTGATTCAGCTGAGCCTGTGGAAATAGCACAACCTTTGTACAATGAATCTATGCAAGTACAATTAATCTGAATGCTTCAAATGTGTTGCACATGTGTAAGTTGTCAGTGCAATTCAGTCCACCGTTCCAATACAGCTTCTCTTGAGAATTCTGGTAATGCCTATCATTCCATTTAAAGCTCTTCAGGTTCATTCAGACAGCTGGGATGTCCTTTTGCTTTATACATTACCTAACACATTTTGCTTTGAAGGGGACTGAAAAGCATTCTACATCAAGATTGGCTTTTATTTCCATTTTTTGCCTGAAAAAAACCAAGCCAGTCTTCCAGAGAGCCCTTACTTCAACAGGCTTTTTTGTGACTGATTCTACTCACCCACAATAGTGGAAAATCTCCGTGTAGGCTCTTTCCCTGTCACCAGTTTGTAGAGTTCAGGGTAGTAAAACTCCAGGCTCTCTAAGAACACCACATAGCCCCTCTGGCCCTTGGTGTGGAGGATGTCCAGCAGCCGGCCTGGGTACAGACAGCAGAGAGGTGACACATCAGCCCCACGAGCAGCACAAGCAAATATCACATCCCTGATGTTCCTGAGGTTCATCTCTGCCACGGCAACGAGCTGTGCAAAATCTGCCTGATTAACTGAGTTCAGCTGAACCCGTAAAGTAATGCCACCAATTCTGTATGTTTGTGCTGATTGTTATTCTGAGGGAGTGTGGGCAAATTGGTCTCTGGAACAGAAATTTCAAAGCACAAGATATTCAGTGCAGCCTTTACCAGGCAGGGATGGCAGATCTTCCACTGACAAATCACAAAGTACTGCAAGACAGCTGAAAAGCTACTCCTGGAATGGCACTGACTGCTGCTTGTGTTAACTGAAATATTTGCCAAGGCTTTGATGGGAATTTGAACCCCATGAGCTCCAGTCTGCAAAGCACTGGAAGGAGTCTTTGTTATCAAAATAGCATCAGAATCCCCCCGAATTCTAAGCCTCCTGTAAATAAGATAAAAGAATTTCCATCTGATAATCTGTAACTTGATTCAGGCTCTCTCCAAACTTAGTAGAGCAAAGCTATTCAGACAGAGATGCAGATGGAGCCACTGACCAGATAATTACCTGCTCTGTTAATTTTGGAGGGCAGCATGAGTGAGTTGAGCACCTCATCCTCATCCTGCTCATCGATGACTTTGCACTGCCGTAAGTAGGGGGTCAGCTTGGCTGGGTTGATGTAGCGGCTCAGCATGTGCCGGTTGCACTCCACATTCTCCCACAAAGCCTCCTCCTCATCTTTCAGGGTCTCCAGGCAGTCATCCATCTCTGGCTCTGCTCCTGAACAAGGGACACAACTGGCAAATGAACTCCAAGCAGGACAGCTGCAATCCCAGTACTATTTTGTGCTTTCATGTCACAAGGATGAGCTCAGAACCACCTCTGACTAATGCTGAATTTGCCCAATATTGAAGCTGTTTGAAGTGCAGCCTGTCCACAGCTCATCTGGGAAATGACAGTTCACAGAAATGCTATCTTGAGTCTATGAACTACTGCTCATCGCTCTCCAGTGATGAATCTGCACTCAGCCAACTCCACCGAGCTCTTTACAAGTCAGAGAGGCAACAGCAAAGGGCACAGTGCAAGGCAAGAAGGGAATGAACCTGCAGGGCTCAGAGCAAAGACAAATACTGGCTGCAGGCAATGAAGGCTTTCATCCTCACCTCCTTTGCTCCTGCAAGCTGTACTGATGTGAACCTGCACAGATGTGATGAGCCAGCACCTGTAAGTGGCTGCACACAAGAATAGTTAAGGCAGGTCTGTGTCTGCAGCTGGCTGTGGATCACTGAGGGGTACCTGGGTGTGGGAACTCAAAATGTCTCTCAGACATTTTTAGAGGTTCCAGGCCCTGGTCAGAAGCATTTTAGACCCTGGCAGGCAGCTGCAAACAGCTGTGATTTTGAATTTGAGCCATGGAATGAGTTACCAACTTTGGAGGTGGAACAAGCAGTCACAAAGGGTTAGATAGTATAGTAAAAGTAGTTACTAAGTAGAGGGGAATTTTTTTAGTATTGTACAGGGGGGTTTTAGCACCTGTACAGGGGGGGTTTTACTTTGTACATGGGGGTCAGAAGTTCTAAGATGGAGGAAAGTGGGCTGATCCTGTTCTTCCTCCTTTGTCTTCCTTGCCTCCATGTTATTGGTGATGCTGGCACTCACAGATTGGTTTAGAGTAGAAAAGCACTTGGTAATATAGGTAGTAGGTATTGGGGGAAAACTATAAACATGTAACACGTAATATATCATATAAAAGATAGCAGCAGCCCTGGGTGGGGGGAGAGAAGAAGAGGACAGCAGACAGAGAGGATGTCAGGGTGTGTGTGTGTCTCTGTCTGGGCTGCTGACCAAACAGCTGCAGCATGAAAAGAAAATCTTTTAGATAACTCACAATAAACTGCCTTGAGACCGAACAATGAGAGGCTGTGGAGTTTTTCTTTGGAAGCTCAGGTTGGAGGAGAGACTTTTCCACCACACGAGACCCCAGAGCAAGCCCGGGGTTCTCACACCTGGGAGCTCAGACCTCGCCTTTCCCTGCAGGAGAGGGCAGGTAACAGCACTGTGTCACTGCAGTCTGAAAATGTTCTTGACTCATGCAAATGCTATCACATGGTTTCTGAGTGCTTGTGAAGCAATTTCCTGCCAGCTCCTAATTTGTACCAGCTCATTAGAGAAGGTTACATGGCAGGCTACAGTGAGGCAAGAAAACTTGTACTGAAGTTAAAACTAAAGAAACTTTGTAAAAAAAAAAAATCTTTCCTTCTTTATGCTGTGAAAAATATTAACCTTTCATCTAGTACTATTTTTGCATTCTAGCTTTCATGGGACCTTGTGATCCAGGTGGCACGTGGAACATAAGCTTTTATTTCAAGTTCAGAGACCATGGTGGAAGAAAACTATGCACTTCTTGGACCATATGACACGAGAGCTCTGCTTTATGAGGCTTTGCTGGTAATCAGTAAGTAAAGACCTCAAAAGCAACATGCTGCTTTTCTCAGCTTCCAGCTTTAGGAACTGGGGAGCAGCCCGTGTTACACTGAGCATCCCTGAGCAAAACCAGCTCATGAATTGGATAGCCAAGGGGTATTAATTCCTCATTCTGAAAACAATAGCCAAAAGTGCTTTATATCTGCTAAATAATGTGTTTGTCAGTGTTCTCACATAATGAAATACAGAATATTCCTACAAAAATAATGCATGCTCTCTGCTTGATGCTTTTAAAAGCTTTCCCAATTTGTCAAAAATCCTAGTCTGGGTTTCAATATCTCTGTTAGAAAAATTTGGATGGATTTTCACAGTATGGACAAGTTAAGGGAGTATTGGCAGGGGCTTTGTTCTTTTCCTGTACTCCAGCAGAATGCTTTTCTTTGCAGTTTCACATCCTAGGAACCACTTATCCCACATTTGCTTTGAAGCTTGCATGGGGATTCATTACTCCAGTGACTGCCATTACATATTCTGGGAAAGACATCAGTCCCCAGAGGGCCAGGAAAACCAGAGCAGTTCAGTGGGATGCAGAATCATGGGGCAAGGCTGCAGCTAGGAGAAAATCTCCCTGATCCTATGAACTTCACACTGGTTGGGTGAAATTCTCACTGAATGCCAGTATTTATGTGTGGTAAATATGACATTGAAGCAACGAGTAGAATAAAGGTAAAACAACAGAGAAAAAATCTTTACAAAGCAGGTTGTAGTGGGAGGAATGCTAAAGGTGAAAGAGCTTCATCTGAAGTCCTCACACATTCTCATGAACCTTACTCTCCACCATTATTCTGGAAGTAACTGTATTTCACTTCAAAGGTGAATTTAACAAATGCTACATAATTGGAGAAGCTGGACTTTGGGGAGTAGAAGGCAGTGAAGCAGAAGGTCACACAGTGCCTCAGTCAGCTCACAGCCACAGCACTCATGCAGCTGAAAAAAGGAAAGTCACAGGCCCTTTAATTTCTGGGAGCATACCAGGGAGCTCAGGGATGGATCTCAGAGTGCAAAAGAAGCACTTGCCTGAATTTCATAAAATGCAAGATATCTTGTAATCTGCTGCGCTGAACCAGAAATTATTGCACACTGTCAGCGGTTCCCTCAGGACATTAGTAAGGGATTTCTCCACTAAATGATTCAAAGAAGAGTTCACTCATCAGCATAATTCTCAACATGAATATGTTATTTTTTTTTACCTGACATTAAAAAAAAAAAATCTTTATCAAATAGTCCCTTGTATATGGACATAATACATCTATACTGTTATTTTGGGGACATAATGATTAATGAGAAAGTAATAAGTATATTGGATGAGCGGCTAAGAATTTTAAAAGATTTCTGGTAGCAAACTCCTGCTAAACACAGTCTATTATAAGGTGCAAGCCCTAAGAAATGTCATTTAGTGGAGTGGTCCTTCACTGCCATGTAGGAATGTCAGACCACCTCTTTTGCATCCTTCTGTGGAATGCCACCTTGGAAATGCCCTGCAGAGTCACAGCTAAGCTCTGTCCCTGTCTGCCCAGAGCTCCAGGGATGTGTCCCAGGGATCACTCCCCCTTCCCAGAGCTCGAGGTGCTGCCTTTGCTGTGAGGCTCTGGCCAGGCTGCTCTGAGAGCACCACCCCCATGGAGCTCCAGCGTCCTGTGGAGCTGCTCCAGAGAAAATAGCAGTGATCAGCTGATTTTAGTGCACAACCCCTCCTACTGAGCAAATAATCATTTGATTTAGTATTTAATATAGTGTTGAATAGGAAGCAAAATGCTCGCCATTGGTTGAAATTTTGGTGTGCTGGTCAAAAACTCAAATGTAACAATTGAAACTCAGTGGGACACTAATAAAGGTCTTGTATTACTGGCTTTAATTTTAGAAGTTTTTTAGCAGTACATGCATTTTCTAAGCATTTTATAGCCCTTGTTCCCTGCTTCTGTCCTTCCTTCCTATGATGATATTGCAGAAAAGTTGTTTTCACTTACAAAATTAAAAACGACAGATTTAAAATGTTTTCAAATGTGTAATCACTTATTTAACCCGATCTTTATTACCATTATCTAATTTGTGATTCCAACACCTCTTGAGCTGTAAACTAACACATCCAGGAGTTGTGATATGTCATAGAAATACTATGGCATCCATTACAAATCACAGGTGTGAACTCACAGACTTGGACTGACTTCAACAGACATTAAGCAAAAAGAAACAAGAAATCACCACAGCAGTTAAAAAATTGCTCTCCTGCTGCTCCTTTCAGTAGTTAGTATACAAAATAGCTTTTAACTGCAGGAGAGCTTAATCCAGTCATAATCTCAGCTTGTTCCATCTATTTCAAAGGTCTCTGTAGATGTAGACAAATAAAAGAGAGAATCCCTTTTTACATTAAAAGGAACACTCTGCCCCCCTTGTCTCCTTTTCTCTCTCAGGAACTATCCTTCTGCTGGCTGTTACACACAAATGAATCGTTCTGGATGTTTGCTGGTTTTTCCGTGGTGGATTTTTCAGCTGAACAAATCATCTTGCAGTTAAAGCTGCTCTCTGTTCTCACTCAGACTCCACACTCTCATATGTCAGTGCCACTCTCCACTGATCAAGGGAATAAAGCCTGCAGGCTTCAGACCCAGGGGTTCTATAAAGTGCTCATCATCAGGTCACATCTAAAGCTTCATTTTTGTTTTTTGTGCTTTGTTTGATGATGGTGCAGAAATTAACCCTTCAGCTGTTTAATAATTTGCAACCTTGTACTCTCAATTTCTGCCAGCCTGTCAATACTCAGGAACTGCCATGCAGCCAATGCAGCTTTCAGCTCAGGTTTCTGATTTCCTGATGTTCCTTTTGTGAAATATGAAAAAAGGGTTTTCTCTTCATACTGAGAAGCAGAAGAAAGTTTATTTTGGAAGAGGTAATCTATTGTTATGTTTTGGATTTCTGTATTTGTCACAGATGTTTGCAGACTGGCAGTATTTAAAAAGAAACAACAGTACATTAAATGTTTTGCATATTATAACTTAATAAGAACAGAATTTTATGTTTAATGCTGAGTATGAAAGAATGACATATAAATCATCATACTTTAAACCAAAAATAAAGATGAAAACAACATTCTAAAACTGTGTATCTAATTATTCTCAGCATTTTGAGGGTGTTGTTCTACATCCTCTTTCTCAGCACATCTCCAGAGTCTGTGGGGCATGTCTTTTCTCCCTGCAGTGTGTACAGCACCTCACATGACAAAGTGTAACAACTGGGTGATTTTCTCAAAAGCTGCTTGTGTGGATATGTGCAGATTTGCAATATCAGAGAACCACAAA